TTAAATTGGATGATTTGATTTGATTTTTGGATAATATATATTATTATAAATTTTAAAATCCAATCTGAATTTGAATCGACCTTTTTTTGAAATTGATCCGATTTGAACTGAATTCTATTAGTTTAGTTCGATTCATTGGTTTTTAAATTTTTTTTTTATTTTTTTATATATTATTTAAACAAGATTTTAATATATATATTTAAATAGATTATATATATAATAATTATTTTTATTTTATAAAATTTAAAATAGTATATGAACTAATAAAAATATATATTTCGATTCCGTTCTTTTTTTTTTTATTTTTCACATTCTGATTCGAAATTCGATCCAAACTTATTATATACATTTAATAGTCGAACTTGATCCGAATCGAATTAAACTGAACATTATGATTTCGAATCGATTTTCAATTTTCCTTTTTTTCTTCTCACCCATAGCTACAAAATCTTCCTCTACTATGTTCTTGGTTTTCAAAATGGTAGTTAATGTAAAAAAAAAATTATTTTTTATTTTTTAACTTTAACTTAGTTGCTTATGGTGTGAGGTTTATTTGCTATAGTCCAAAAATGATTGTCACAAGAATGTTTCTAGGAAGAGGGAAGTTATGGTGGGGGGAGGGTGGCACTGAGGTAGCTTGAGCTCATGGTGCAATGCACAACACCTATTGTCAATTTCTCAGACCTTTCTTTTTTAAAATTTTTTTAATTTTTAATTTTTTTCTTTAATTTTCTAGGTTTTTTATTTCTTTAATTAATTACAAAAAAACAACTTTGGGCCTTAAACATGAAAATTGGGCATTGGGCTTTAGGCCAAAGATATTGAATTTGGGCCAATGATAATGGAAAATGATTTTGGGCTTTTAAGCTTAATTGTCATGGAATTCACACACAATTGGAATTGGACCTGTATAACTAATATAAGACTTTATTCATGCAATTGAACCAAACGAGTTGACTTTGAGCGAACAAGACCAATTTAATTGGGATACTTAATTGGGTCCAAATTGAGGCCTGTTTTGATTATCTTGGACAAAATTAGATATCTATAAGGTTACTTGTTAGATTTTTTAGATTGTGGTTTGGTTTTTGTTTGTGGGTTATTGGGGATGGTTTTACTTGGTAATTTGGATGCATTATTAGTTTTAATGAAGGTTTGATTGTTTGGTAATGGTGAGGGTATCAATAAAAAGCAGTGGTTATCTGTGAGGTTATAGGGTTGGTTTTGATAGAGTTTTGGTTGAATTGTTGGTTCAATGATGGTGTTGGTAGTGTTGTGCAATGGTGGTGGAGATGCTGCTATGATCAATTAGAAGTTTTTTTTTTTTCTCATTTTCTTGTTGATTTTTGATTGTTTAAATAAAAATCAATTTTGGTTGTGATAGAATTCAAGATCAGAACAAATTATTAATTAAAAGAGGACTTCCTTTGATCCTTATCATTTAATCATTGAAATTTTATCTCTAGCATAAGTCTAATGAAGTCCCTCTTTTTTTTTTTTTTTTCAAAAATAAGATTGTTCATCTTGTTCAATTTATCTTGATCTTTTTTTAAATATTAATGAGATAAAATAAATAAAAGTAAAATAACTAAAAGTAAAAATTGTAAAAGAAAAAAGAGATCAAACACTAGGTTTGGGTTTTAAATCCAAACCAATTGCAAAACCTCAAAAACCTAAAAATTGAACAAGGTTAACCTAATACCCAAATAGTAAATTCAAACTTAAATAAGTCAAATTAAAATCACGTTAAATAGAAAATAAAAATTCGAAACCAAATACTAAAATTCAAAATTATTTCCAATGATCTTGGATAAAATAAGATATCTACACCGAGTTGTTGACTAACCTTGACTAGGGACATTTTCATATTTTCTTTATTTATTTTATTTTTTGCCTATTTTTATTATGTTTATTTTATAATTATTTATTTTAGTTTTTGTATTTCACAAAAAATATTTTTAAATTTGTGTAAAAAAAAAAAAACAAAACAACTACCATGAAATTCTCCTTTCTTATTTCCAATGAAATCTTTATGAGAGAATAATGATAACATCAAAAACTTAGAAAACATGTGCTAACAAAGCTAAAGTACATTATAACATATAAACACGTATACATTATATGCACATATAAATAAAAAATTAAAACTTTAAGATTGGTTAATAATAAGTGCGAGGATTTAGACAAAGTTTACCAAGAGATTTGTCGAAGTTTTATATGAAAAAAAAAAAGCAGAAAAACGTGTCATGAAGCCAGTGTTTGCTCTTTCATTTTAATATATTTCAAATTATGTTTCATGATCCCAAAATAAAATTGAATCTCATTTATCATTTCTTATGGAACATAAGCATTCTATGTACATCTTCACTATAAAACTACAGAATCATACATGATCTACTAAACTACATAATCATACATCTATGAGTACCCATTATCAACTATGTGCAAAAGCAATCCACTCCATGCCTCCAAAAAGCTCAGACCATGCTAAAAAAAAATAAAAAATATGTCAATGATAAATAAATTAATTCATTAAAAATAAAATTCAATAACAAATTGATTAAATAATATCCTCTTACTCTATGGGATCGTTGTGGTGGCTCTTCCACTGCTCCTCATCGAAGAAAATAAAGATTCCTGTCAGGGTGTTGAAGGCTGAAGCATACACGAAAACATGGACATCAAAATCAAACAAACCATTGATTGATGAAACCACTCCAAAAATAAAAAATATGAAGAGAAATTTAGCACATGTTTGGAAGGAATAACCTCTCATGTCCCTCATCTTAACTAAATTCAAGACAAAAAATGTAATAACCAGACAAGGACTAAGGAATTTCCAGAAAGGAGGTTTACTATTAGGATTATAGTTAACGAAAACCGAGTCGAAAAAAAATCGTGTAGTATCCAAAGTGTGCAGTGGAATGATTGTGCTCGTCTTCGGAAAGAGTTTTTATTCTCCTAGTCGTTAAAATGCTAAATGCTCAATTTGCCCTCAACTTTTAAGAGGTTGCTCAAATTAGGATATGATTTTTTAATTTTAGCAATTAACAAAAGATTACAATTAAAGGGTGTTTTAGACAAAATTTAAAGAGTGACATTCATTACCTATTAAAATCCCAGCTGGCAAAAAAAAAAAAAAAAAAACTGACACCTGACAATAAAAATACACTTGGCAGCTGACTCATTAAAAATAAAAATTTTAAAATGAAGACTTTTTTCTCTTTTTCTTTAACATTTTCTCTCTCAACCAAGAATATCTTTTTAATTTAGTACCTTTGCTTTCTCAACCAAAAATACTATCTTCAACTCATTACCTATTATCTTCCAATAAAAAATCACTCTAGTTTTAATATCCTTCTTGTCCTTAAAACAAAACTTTATTAATTACATGTTACTAAAACAAAACCTAGGATCTACTAAATTTGCATCCCTTAAACATAGATCCAATCCTAAAATCCCAGCAAGCACAAAAAATTTGGAAGCTCTAGTTAGTTTACATCCCCCCACCAGCCTTAACCACCATCCATTCAGTTCAGTTTTGTCGTAACCACCGTCACCTTTTGCATACAGCCGTTACATAGCATCACCAAAGCCTTCACCCGAAAAACAAAAGAAAACCATAAAAAAATAACAAAATTGGCATCATAAGAAAAACTTAGCCACAAATTTTTTGAACGATAACAAAGTCACATACAATACAAAAAAAATGCATGAAAAACCACCATGTACGACGTTAATAATGGTTGTGGATGGCAACAAACAGGTTTTTGGGATTTTGCAACGTTGAAAATAAAGATCAAAGATAAGGGATAAACATAGTGGGATTTCGAGTCATTTGAAGTAACAAAATGAGTGTTTTCGAGGTATTAAAGTCGCACCTTTTAAGTGTAGATCTAGAAATTATGGTGATTTTTTTTTTAAATTTAACTTGAGAAAGGGAAAAAAGGGATCGAAAGGGATTTTGGGTAAATTTTGGAATATTTTCCACCCCAACGAACGGTGGATGGAGGGGTTGGTGGTGGCCAGTATGTTGGATTCTAAGTTGACTTGTTGTTTTTAGGGGTGTTCTAGTAAGTGAGGAAAGAGTAGGGTGGGCAACCCAACCCGCCCCCGACGGTTTCGATTCGATCCGAGCCCATAAAGTCGAATTTTTTTTTTTAAATCGAGTTTCGGATCGGGTTGGGTAGTGCTAAAAAGAAGTCGAGGTCGGATCGAGTTCGGATTTTAAACAAACCCAACCTGATATTATATAAAAATAAAATTTTAAATTAATTTTTTATTTATATATTTTTATAATTATATATTTAAATATTTATATTTTAAAAAATAATATTTTATTAATTTCGAGGTCGGATCGGATTGAATACGATTTATACACTATCGAGTCAGGTCGAGTTCGAGTATGAAAAAAATTTAAAAAAATTAAAAAAAAATTTAGGTCGAGTCAAGTCGGGTTTGACGGATATGAAATCGAGTCGGATTCGGGGTGAGCAAAAATCCGCCCCAATCTGATCCATTGCCAACCCTAGAAAAGAGGTTTTCTTTTAGAGAGTGAAAATGTTAAAAGTGAAAAAAGAATATGTGAATTTTTTCTCTCAACCCTTAAAATTTTTTTTTTTTAATAATTGACAAGTATTTTTTTTTATTTATTTTTTAAAGATTTCATTTTAACATTGGCCTATGTAATGCACTAATTATATTTTATTGGAAATATTTCATCTTTAATTATTATAATATAATTAATTATAATTTAAAATTATATAAAATTTATTAATATTTTATATAAAATTCATAATTAATTTTTATATAAATTTTTATCATGATTAAATAATTATAATTTTATAATAAAAAATTATAAATGATATGTTTTTATTTTTTTCCATTTTTTGTTTTTAATTTTTACATCTCGGATACGTTAAATCTTTATTTTTTAAAATTAAAAAATTAGTAATGATTTAAGCAACCCTTCACTGACAAAAATGAGCATTTAACTGTGATAAAACCTTCTTCGGTTGAAAGGCTCTTTCTCTTCTTTTTTCTCTTTTTTTCAACTTTATCCATTTCTCGTGTTTCCTCCAAAACAAGCGCAGATTTTTTTTTTCAGGAAACCCAAAGTAATTTGCTGGAAAATGTCGGGGAAAGGGGCGAAAAGGTTGATTACGGGTGGCAAATCCACGAAGGACAAAGACAAGGATAAGAAGAAACGTGTCCCCTGCTCTTTTCGCACTAGTCTTCAGGTCCCTTTCTCTCTCTGTGTCCTCTTAATTTTCTGCTTGAATTAGATTTTCTTTTGATTGTTTTCGTGAATTAGATTTTTATTTTGTGAATTTTAATTATGAAGCATTCTTTAGTTCTTAGCAAAAGTATAGTTTCAGATCAAGAAAAGCAGATTTTTTTTTACTTAATTCTATTCTCATGTTTATGACTCTTTGTTGATGTTTGAATCGTCGCTATGAATAGTTGTGCTCTTTGTTGGTTCCCTTTCATTTATCAAAGGATTTACATGTTTTATGGTGTTAGTTGTTGCAAATGAGACACTTACGTGTTCTATGAACAATTGCAGTCGTGTTGAACCTTATTAAATGTTATTTCCATGTGAGGGCTAAAATGAAAAGGGGAAAGGTGGGTGGGTAGTTGAGACAATTTGCTCCTGTTGATGACTATAGTTTCCGCCTTTTCTTTTAATGGATTAATTATCTTAGCATCTTAGCGTTTTATGTATTTTCCAAAAAGCTGGGGAAATTTTTGTAAAGGAGGGTTGAGACATATGGTCTATGAGAAAAACTAGAAAGTTCCATTTGACTTGGTTTATTTTCTATTCTAATATATTCTGATGGCTGCTACAAGTTTAGTAAACTTATTGATTCATAAGTATTGTTTGGTTTTCTCTTGATTCTTTAAATGTTAACTGAGTGAACTTGAGGCACACAAAAATAAAAGCAATGAAATGATAGCCAATAATGAAGGTTTACTTGTTCTTGGTTGCAACTTCTTTGAGGGATTTATGCACAACTTATGGCGTGCTTTCTATAGTGGCTTTGTTTTGAGGTACATTATTGTGACAACAAAAATGGACTAGTTAGTTATCTGTTAAAACTCTTTTGAATTAGTAAAATTATGTATAATAAGGTTTTCTTTATTTTGCGGAAAACTATTTTTGAAAAATGATTTTTGGAAAATGTTTACATTTTTTAAATTGAAATAGATTTTTTGTTATTTGGATAAATTAATAAAAAATATTTTCCATTGTTTGGTTGTTTTCTGAAAATTTTTTTCTTCAAATAAAATTAATATAACTATCAAAATATTAAAAATTATTTATTATTAAAGTATATTGAAATTAGTTTTATTAAAATTATTAATATTAAAAAATAATTATATTTTAATAATAATATCTAATATTAAAATATTATGTTAATATTAAAAATACTTAAAATAAAACTATTTATTATTCTTTATATTATTTATTAATATTATAGGCACCAATTTTGTTTGATTCTAAAAAAAATTATTATTATTATTATTATTAAAAATACTTAAATAATATAATTTTGTTTTATATTATTATTATTATTATTATTTAATTAATTAATTGATTAAAAAAAAAGAAGAAATAGTAAAAAAAAATTTTTGTTTTAACTTTGGTAATTGAAATCAAGTTGCCAAAATGGTTCCTTTTTCTCCGGACATTGCCTAACTTAGTACCATGAAATCCAGTGATCAAAAGTCATCGGATAGGTCTTCAAAATTTTTTACAAAAGGATTCTAGAAGATCTGGGATTGAAATTCCAAAAGCTTTATAAATAGAGCTAATTTTTGCAAAAGAGAAGGAAAGAAAAAAAGAAAGGAATGCTGTTAAGACAAAAATAATATAAAACAAAAAAGAAGAACATATGAGGGAAGCTTAGGGGTTTTGCAAAAAAAGAAAAAAAAAAACAAGAAACACACATAAACAAAAAAAAAAAAAACTCAAAAACAAAAAAGACCCTTTAAGAAAGAAATTATCAATCTAAGAGGTTTAAGTTTTTATTGAAAAATCTAGTTTTAAAGGAGTGTTTAGAAAAGAGAAAGGATCGATTTGGGATTTTTTGAAAATTTTTTTAGTTACTAGATTTTGAAAAACTTTGAATTTTTTGGTGACCTTTAAAGTTTTTAATGATCGAAATCTAGGAAAATGGCCAAAATCTGGAAATTATTTGAATTTACCAGTGTCGTTTGAATTTTTTGGCAATGGCAGGCAGCGACCGATTGAAAACTGGGTAACTGTGGTGGTCGATGAGATGCGCTGTGTTTTTTTAGAGAGAGGCTCGAGCGTAGAGAGAGGGGAAAAATTAAAAAAAAAGCCTTTTATAGACATACCAAAACGACGTTGTTTTGGGTGTTTGACTCGTGCTCAACTCATGCAAGATAGGCATGTCAACCTGCGCGTTGACTCAACTTGTTTGGCAGGTTTTTCTTTTTCTTTTTCTTTTTATTTTCAATTTTGATTTTGATTTTATTTATTTTGTATTGATTTTTATGTTTTTCTTATGTTTGTTTTTTTATTATTATTACTAGTAATAATTCTTTCATAAATAAATAAATAAAATAAAACTAAAATAAAATAAAATATTGACCTAAAAAATTTAATATGCAAAAAAAGTTAATAATAATAACTATTTAAGGAAAATAAAATTTTATTGCAAGCAAAAATATTATTTAAGTTTCACTAAAGTGTTGGAATAATCTAAAAAATAATTTTTGCTAAAAAATAAAATTTAATAAAAATGATAAATAAAATAAAAATGATAAATTATTTAAATGAATCTTTTAAATGTAAATTTTAGATAAAGCTAAAAGAGTTTTATTTTTTTTAATTATTGCAAGTAAAAATAATTTTTCAGATTTTACGATAGAATTGGAATAATCCAAAATTATTTTTATTAGAACAAATGTTTATTTAAACAATGTAAAACAATAAAAAAAATAATAATGCAATAATAATAATAATTGATATTTTGAATAAATTTTTATAAAAAATAATTTTTTTAAAGAAAATTGAAAGAGTTTGATTTTCTTTAATACAAGTAAAAGATTAATATTTTTAGATTCTGTCAGTGAGTCAGGATAATTTAAAAATTTTTAAATAATAAAAAAATAATAAACAGTAAATAATAACAACAAAATAATAAAAATAATCAAATAAAATAAATTAATTAAATCGCTCAATTATCATAAAAAAAAACTAATTTTATTTAAGATCTTGTCAAAAAATGGAGATGATTCTAAAACTTGTTCAAAATTTTTTGAATTTTGTCGAAGAGTTGGGATAGTCTTAAAATTTGTTTAATAAATTTTAGAAACTCACCAAAGAGTTAGGTTGTTCTTAAAGTCCTTTTTTATTTTACAAATAAAATATCTTATTGTGAGATTTCGAGAATTTTGTGAACGGTTGATTTTCCTGAAATATTTTTTAAATAAAGATTTTCTTTAAATTCTACTAAAACGTTAGAGAATTTATAGAATACGAAAATAATAATAATACTAATTTCATAATAAAGAAATTTTTTTTTCATAAATAGATATTAAGAAATTAAATTTAAATATAAAAAAGATCGCATTATCAAAATTAAATGATTACATATGTTTAATTGGTACCGTTCTTCGAACGGGTGACCTGAAGGTGCTAAAACTTTTCTCACTAACAACCGTACTTTCGAACCTAACTTTGATTTTGTAGTCTTAAATTTCTTTTAATAAATCTTAATCAATTTTGAGATTTTTATTAAAAGATGATATTTTTGAGTGGCAATCACATCTTAGAAAAAATATTGGTGGTGAACTCTAAAAATTTTCATAAAGTCTAGTGATCGAGTCCCTCATGGACGAAAAATCGTTATAATAGCTTGACGACTCTACTAGGGAAGTTGGAGAGTCAAGCCAAGAATTAAACATGTGTCATCCAAAATTTGATTTTATAGTTTTTTTATATTTAATTTTAATTTCTTATCTCATTTTAGAATAAAAATAAGGAAAAAAAAGGATAAAAATTTGATGGATTCATATAGTTTTATTATGTTATTTTATTTGGCTTATATTGTTGCAAATTATATTGTTGATTTTATTTTAATTAATAATTGTTGCATTCCCTCATACACATGTACATTTGCATTCATGTACAAGCTCTATTCCCAGCTCCCAAATCTATCTCTTTTTAGGAGGAAGTAGAGTACTTACACTTTCGTGAGGTTAAAATATCTTCGCTTGGGCTAGCGAAATATTTTTACTCAAATTGAACCATTTTTGTTGGTAGCCCATTATGGGTGAGAATCGGGGGCCTTACTAGTCCAAAGTGGATGACAATAAGGATCAATTTGGGAACATTTTTAGCTTATATTAATTACCATACCTTACATATAGTAAACCTTAAAAAACTAACCTTAGATAGAGCCATAGCATTTTTGTATATTTTACACTAAATTAGGACACATTAGGGATTATTTATTTTAATACAATTACTAACCCTAATTTGTTCTGCTTTTCTTTTGTTTCATGATCATGCATAATCATAAACACTTGCATATGTGATGTACTTGTCAATGTGCCAATATCAGTCAAAAAATTTTTGGTCTTGCTACAAAAATACCATCATGATGTTCTCAGTTTCGAAGCCCACTGTGTATGAAGAGGCTAATGTGGTGATAACTCTATCATTAGAAGCCCAAAGCAAAAAGGGAAATTGTTTAAAAGAATCTAAACAGAAAATTTTACTTGAAGAAATCAAACTGGGGCTTTAACAAAATGACATCTCTGAGATGGTTAAGATCTGACACGTGTAACAACTCTTAGAAAGATGGTTTTCGAGGAAAAATATGATCATATTGCTTCACTCTTTAAGGTGTTTACGAAAAATCAATTGATAAGAGATTTAGTTTAGTTTTGAGACCCTGTATATAGATGTTTCATGTTCAATGAGATAGATATAACCTCAACGATTGAAGGATATACTACATTGTTATGGTTGCATCTTTCTAATCCAGATAAAATCTATTTGCAAGGTCAAAAATTTGGATCTAGAAAGAAACTTGCTTATATGATAGAGGTCTCTACTTAGAATGTGAACTCATATATCCAAACAAAAGGTAAAAGTGATTGCATCCTATTAGGAATCTTATGTGATTACATTGTCAAACACTTAGAGAATGAACGGGGCATGAGAATGATAGCTTTGGCAATTTATGGCTTAATCATTTTTTCG